GCTTCCCGCTCGGGTGGCGGCCGTCTCCTTTGCCGGTGTCGGGAGTTGCGGGTGCCGCCTGCGCCTCCCGGCCGTGACGCGCCGCAGCTGCGCACCGGAGGCCGGAGCAGGAGTGGAGCCCGCGGTTTTCTCTACACCCTCCGTTCCCCTGCCTGGGTCCGCCACTGGGACCTGGACAGGCGCCCTGGAAGGAAAGTCTGCGGGGAGTCGCGCGGTGAGGGCGGCGAGCCCTCCTGGCCGGCCTCAGGTAGGAGCGGTCCGGGGTCTGAGCTCGGGTCGTCCACGTCCTCTCTGCTCAGTGCTCTAGGAGGTGATCTGTCTCAGGAATGGAGGGAGTGGATTCCCAGCATGAGCGCTTGGAGAAAGGAGAGTAGGGTTTGTGAGGATCCCGTGGGGGACTGTTACCTAGTGCACGAGCGTCCTCCTCCAGGGACACGCAGCAGGTCTGTGAGCCAAGGAAGGGGCAGCGCAGTGCTCAGCCTCCCACTGCAGAGTGCCTGTGCTGATCCCCCAATCCTTGTAATAGGATTATTGTTCTCTTTAGTTTGCTGACCGCAGCAGTTTAGAATAAGCGAGGTGCTTTATTAGCACCCTTTTCTCTGAATCACGTCCCGGAATTGACTTTGTGTTTTTCTTTCTTTCTTTTTTTTTTTTTTTTTGTATCTCACCTTTATTTTACAAATGAAACTGTATCTCATTTGTTCACACGTCTTGTACACACATACACAACTCGAAAGATGCTGGAGGGAAAGGTGTGAGTTTTAACTACAGTCTGCCAGCATTCACAGAAGGAAAGATGTTCTAACACACTAGCAACACGCAAAGGAATAGTCACGGGTATTTTTTGGGGAGGAGTTGTAATTGGTCTGATCTATTATTTAGAAGTAGTAACAAAATGAAACTTCATTTTAAAAATAGCCTACCTGTTATTTCGGAGAGTTCTGAGGGTTCATGTGTCCTGCTTAAGTTACAACCGTATGCATGTTTACTGTACAATTTATTTTTAGAGAGATTTTTGCTATAGGGTTCATGCTTTCACTGGAGAGACAGAGAGATAGAAAGTGAGAAATCACCCCCAGGGGGCATGGCCACACTGCAGTTCCTTCTCCTCCTCCTCCATTCTCCCTTTGGGATCTTGGGCTCGCACGCACATGTGCCCAGCGAGAGGTTTTTTTTATTTTCTTTTTTTTTTTAACTGCTAGGGAATTCTTTATTTAATAATGTCCTAACAGAAGAGTTCCACAACTGCTTCTTTGAACCAGGATACTGAGCTTTATCACAGCTCTGTAACAGGAGCAGAAAGGAAGCACACATCATATCCATGGACAGTCATACAGTTAGAGACAGCCGGGCCTTCACCTGGGGAGCTCAGGCAGTGGTTGGTGTGCCCGTGTGCTGGCCCTGCAGGGAGGTGAGCGACCTTCTGCCTTGCTCCAGGTGTCTGCACGTGCTGGTCCTGTGGAACTTCTTTCTGAGGCTGGTGTTCTTCCCGTGCAGTTGGGGGTCTCTCACTCATCTGTTCAGCTTTGCGGGAAATGTGACTGCCTTCCTGTTGGGTCCTCGCTTCTCCTGCTCATGTTTCCACAAATAACTTCTCTTCATCTGTTTCTCCGAGGTTCTGTAGCTCCATGTACTTCTCCACAAACCGTTGACAGGTAGACTTGAAGATTGAATTGAACAGATCAAAAACTTTTTATCAGATCCGTAGGCTGAATAAAATTTTGCTCTAATCCGATCCTCTTTGTAAAAGATGTCCTGGATGGCAGGTTTGGCTTTGCCGTGTCGGAAGCCGGGCCTTCAGAAGATCGGCTCTCTCAGCGGGGGAAAGGTGTCATCTATGTCATACCAGAGGGGCTGCTCCTTCAACACCACAGATGGAATCTGGTCCCGAGTCTGAGAGAAGATGGCTCCCAGGGTCTCCAGCTGGCTGCCTGCCGGTCTACGCCTGGGACACATGGCAACTGGTCCATACCCGAACCGGAAGTCCCCAGCGAACATTTTAAGCTCAAAACACAGTCAACTGTGTGGCAGTCTAGCGACGTAACCATTATGCCATCTGCTGGTCCTGGTACAATTTCTTGATTAAAATACTCATTGAAGAGAAAAAAAAATCCAATAGCAATAATACACAGTAGTTTTTAAAGTTTTATGCCTTGGAGCTTAAACCTCTTTCCCACTGTATAAGGTGGCAGGTGAAAAAGTTGCGAAGCAGGACACTAAGGAGAAGAAACCTGAAGCAAAGAAGGCTGATGCCAGTGGCAAAATTAAAAAGGGTGACCCCAAGGCTAAAAGGCCCAAGAAGGGGAAGCCCCATTGCAGCTGAAACCTGGTCCTAGTCTGGGGCATTAGCAGATACTCCCAGTCTGCCTTATATTCTAGGAAAAAGGCCATGTACAAGAGGAAACACTCGGCCACTAAATCCAGGATTACAAAGAAAAAGGAGAAGGTTCTTGCCACTGTCACGAAACCAGTTGGTGGAGACAAGAAGGTGGTACCTGAGTGGTTGAACTTTGCAAAATTCTGGGTGTTATCCTACTGAAGATATGCCTCAAAAGCTGTCTCTGCTTCTCTGTCTGGTGAGTGCATGCGCCCTATAACAAAAGCCTCTCCAAAAAAAGAAAAAAAAAAAAAGCTGTCGAGCCACGGCAAAAAACCCTTCAGTCAGCATGTGAGAAAGCTGCAAGCCAGCATCAGTCCTGGGAGTGTTCTGACTATCCTCACTGGATGCCACAAGGGCAAGAGAGTGAATTTCCTGAAGCAGCTGAGCAGTGGCTGCTATTGTGCCTGGACCTCTGGCCCTCAATCGCGTTCCACTGCATAGAATGCACCAGAAATCTGTCATCACCACCTCCACAAACACTGATATTAGCAAAGTAAAATTCCCAAAGCACCTCACTGATGCTTACTTCAGGAGAAAGCAGCTACGGAAGCCCAGGCAGCAGGGAGGTGAGATCTTTGACACAGAAAAGGAGAGATACCAGATTACAGAGCAGCGCGAAGTTGATCAGACAGCTGTGGACTTGCAAATTTTACCAAAAATCAAAGCTGTTCCTCAGCTCCAGGGCTGCCTGGGGTCTGTGTTTGCACTTACAAGTGGGGTTTATCCTCATGAATTCGTGTTCTTAATTTCTTACCAAGAAATTAAATAACTGATCATAAAAAAATAAAATGCCATATAATATGTAGTTTTATACCTGAGAATACTTTCAAATAACTGAAAAACAGTTGAAACACACAGAGCTGTCAGACATCCCTTCTGATTAGTAACATTTCTATTAAAGATTGCTCTCAGGACCGCAGATGAGATGGTGTAATGATTACATTGCTGGACTCCCATGTATTCGACCATGGTTCAAGTCCTGAACCTAGTGGCTTAAAACTCGTGTCTAGCGTGTTTGTTGTGTGTGTGCCCAGGATCCCGGGAGGAGAATGGAGAAGGGATTGCGGTATGGGGGGGTGACTCCTGTCTCTCTGTCTCTCTGGTCAGTGCCCATGCCCTATTGCAAAACTCTCAAAAAAAGACTAAAGCCAAAGATTTCTCTCAACTTTTTGGATGTCCCAATTACATTTTCGGTCCAGAGATTTGATTGACATTGTAATTTTGTCATCCTCAGAATACCGTCACCACCACCCCCTCATTCCTGTCACTGCCGTCACTACTGTTGTTACTGTTATAACAATGTCTTTTTCAAGCTCCTGGGGTCAGGATTTGACTCCTGCTCAGCCATGTGGGATCTGGCTCCCTTAAACACTAGGCTATTGGGCTGGCCCAAAAGCAGTATTGTTCTACCTCTAGATGTATTTGTCATCCTTCCAGGGAAACCTGATTCCTTCTGTCTGAAATTAGAGGCAACACCAGCATATCCTGGAGAAAGTAAAGCTCCAGATATGAACACCGCCCGCTGCAGGGCCATAGCCTCCAGCCCAGAGCCTGCCTTCAGAACCTGTGATCCTCTCACAGTTTGCTTTGAGGTCGTCATCGCCACAGTTATTTTCCACTCCCCCTTGCTGACGATGGGAATGGTTCAGTGAGGTCGTCTCTTAAATGAAGCCTGATCCTGAGCACACTTGACATGGGAGATAACGAGCCTGTACACACATGTTAAGGGCTGCCTGATAGCTGCATCTCACGGAGCACCTGTGGTTGGAATCCCAACCTGTGGCTTGAAAATATGGGACCAGCAGATGGCATAATGGTTATGTCGCTGGGCTCTTACCTGGCCGACCCTGGTTTGAGTCCTAGACCTGATGGCTTGATACTCATGCTGGGCATGTGTGTGCCCAAAATCCCCAGTGAAGAATAGAGGAGAAAGGATTGCA